CGTCTCTGCAGACAACTTGTGTGAGTCTTAAAGGGACGAGCAGATGCACTGTCATGAGGGACAAACTTCCTTCAGTGCCTCTTCTTGCCTTTTACCAACAATACAGGTTCCATTTTTCTTAAAATGTGTTTCTAAAAAGTCCCTATGGTCATTCTGGGTACTTCAAGGAGGTCTATCAAAATCACTCTTTGGAATTAAAACAACAACAGTTGTTGTGACCATTTGAGCTGACCTCTCTGGTCTGATTTTAACTTCCGGCAGTTGTCTGCAGAAGCCATGGTTTTCGTTGGACCTTTACACTTGACCTGTAGTCTCTACCCAACGAGACTCAGACAAGTGTCTTACTGAGAAAAGTTGCCTGCAGCCACCTACCGATGACATAAACATGTTTAAACAAACGCATTTGGTTTGAAGTAAACCTGAGCGTGTATGAACCGAAAACCTAGGAGGAATACATATCTCTTAGCTTACTTCATGTATAGAGACAGTATATATTTATGAAATATATGTGTGATATCTTAATGAGTGCTATTTTACATCTCTCGGTTCTAATAGCCATTGCAATGGCTACAAAGAATTCACAGACAAAATTCATGATTAAAGGGTTAGGGAAGTTAAGTTGTAATGCCAGTGGGAAATGCTCAGGGCTGAGTTGTTTATCAGAACAGGTTGCAGAGTTCTTTCAGGTCTGCTAATAAACGCCCAAAAGGGCAAACCACTCCATTCAGCTCAAGTTCCACGGGTCAGCACACCCAGCTCCCTGGATTCAGTGCCCAGAGGCACCCTGAGTTAGTTAATTGTGCCAACCTGGCCGATAATCACATGTGGGGCTAATTAAAAGGTGGAGGGATAAATGGGTGGTGAGCCTCGCCTTTCTAGCTCTCCGGTCTCTTGCTTTGTGATGGTCGCACCAGGTTGTAGCTGCCTTAGCAGTTCCCTGCTTCAGCTTGCAAGATTGACTTCCTACAAGACATCCCCAAGGAGAAGCCACATGAACCTATCCCGATGCAACCCTGGGTGCTGGAGCAGCCGTGTGAAGACCCCTGCCAGCGCTGAGATGCTTGTTCGTTCACTGACTCAGCTTTCCTCCTGCAGTCAGCATCATTGCCTCTGTTCTGTGAAGTGGAGGACTTTGTGGACTGGTGTTGGGTTAATGGGTTAATGTTGGACTTGTGGGCTTGGGCAGCATTGGTTTGGGATGTTTTCGTGATGCACATTTTCTTTACATAAAACTCTCTCTTATACATGAGTTGCTGTGGATTTGTTTCTCCAAAGTACCCAGACTAATACACACCCTAATCGACAAGCCAGCATCGTGCATGAAAGTACTCATCTTTACTTGCTCCATGGGTCGGGAAGTCCATCACTTTGCCCCACACTCTGGCTCTAGTGCTGCTGGTGCTCCTCTGGTGGCACAGCTGTCTTCTGGGCCCAGGAGTTTCACTGCACAGGGATCTTGGGTCCAAAAGACACACTCCACTCCTGCTTCTCGATGGGATCATTTTATACACGGGGATAGCACTCCCCCTGATGGAGAGTGAGGACTGAATAGCTATTTCCTGGCTTTCCTCCCTGCTAGGTGACCACCTCTGTTAGGCTGCCCCCTCCTGTTTCCAGAAACCTTCTCTCTGTCTCTTCAGGCCTAGGGATGCTAATCTCCACACCTCTCCAGGCACCAGCCCGGGGTACTATGTCATCTCAGGAGGCTTTTCGTAAACCCCAATCATACCTTTGTAGATCCCATATGAGGAGGATTTTTATAGACAAAACGCATGCAACAGGACATTTAAGAGAGCATAATTCATCAAGCAATTAGAACACAGGTGCTTGGAAGGAATGTGAAACAAAAGGCCAGATGTTTCGATTTAACATAATTGACCAAAGATTTTACCTGAAGAATCAAGTTCAGTGGGAAAGCAGTGAAGGTTCTTAAGCTTGGGAATTATGGATTGGTGTCTGTTTTCTGAAGACCATTCTCTAGTTGTGGGGAAGCACCGGTTGATGAAGTAGAGAATAGCTCAGTTCTGCTTTTCCTCATGTGCCTCTGCTAGCCTAAGGGTTCTAAGAAGTCAAGGTCCTAGGCAGACAGAGGGAGAGTGACAACAGTAGAATTATGGACCACCATGACCCTACTAACCACAGCCACTCTGTGCCTGCACTAGACCAGGGTCTTTGTTGTACTCAAAACAACCAGCTTGGACTATCTTACTGAGCCCAGCTATCAAAAGATACAGCGTCT